CTCGTACATTTTACTCTGATGACTTAACTAATTTAAGTCCGAGCCAACTGCATGACTTCAGTTTGTAAGCTAAATTGATATAGAAAACATGCTTGGCCAAGCTTAAAAGTTACATTTAAGTAACCTTTTTTCCTCTACATATTTGAGCCACGGAAAAGTACTTTTACCTTCTTTCTAATCTGCCAAACATGAGGTACCTCATTATGCAGGTGAAGCGATTCAAACCTCAATTAGTTGCCATTAAAAATGAGTCATTAGTTGGCGAACTCAAGGATGATTTAGCCGATGTGGAAGAAAAGCCGGAAATGATTCCTGGGGAGCAAGGAGTTGTCGAGGTTAGCAATCAGTTATCTCAGTAGCTTATTATTTACTTGGTACATATTGATCTGACTCGTACCCATTGATTGCTGATATTTGTATTCAAGGTTGCCCGCCACCCTGATGCTGTCACTGTAGTTACAGGAATAGTTTTGCCAAACATGAGGTACATCATTATGCAGGTGAAGCGATTCAAACCTCAATTAGTTGCCATTAAAAATGAGTCATTAGTTGGCGAACTCAAGGATGATTTAGCCGATGTGGAAGAAAAGCCGGAAATGATTCCTGGGGAGCAAGGAGTTATCGAGGTTAGCAATCAGTTATCTCAGTAGCTTATTATTTACTTGGTACATATTGATCTGACTCGTACCCATTGATTGCTGATATTTGTATTCAAGGTTGCCCGCCACCCTGATGCTGTCACTGTAGTTACAGGAATAGTTGGGTGCGCAGGTTTGAAGGTAACTATATTTTCTTTCCTTGAAATTCATGTAGACCAAATACGTACGGGGTTAAAAATCTCTTGCATAGATCAGTTCTACGTCAGCTAGGCAATGTTCATGCTTATGTTGATAACAAACATTCAGAATGTTCACATCATTTTCTTGATGTAGTTAAAGATTTTCCTAAAGAAAATAGTCGATAACAGTTATTACTACTTCTGCTGTTGTTTCTCACGTTCCTTTCCAAAGTGCAAAGTTCATAAATTAATCATTAAGAAATTTCTCTCGAATCTTTACATGTATATTATCATTTTAGCCTACAGTAGCTGCCATAGAAGCGAGAAAAAGACATTGCCTTGGCCAATAAAGAGACACTAATTAGTTAGCATGTCCTGGGAATTCTATTATGATAGTTGCATATATTGTTTGCTCGATTTTCTAATTCCTTTTTCGTTCGTTATTGCTCTTGGAGCTCGGGATTAAAGGTTAATCTATAACATCCTCAGCTCTTCCAATTGCTAAAAAGTATCTGTTTGGTTGCGATGATAGGGATTGGCCTGTTGATAAATTGAAAAAAAGTGAAAGTAGCAAATGCTTTAAAGCATCCTAGTTGGGATATGGGTAAAAAGATAACTGTGGACTTTGCCACCCTCGTCAACAAGGTAACATCAATCAGTTGCTTTTTCAACTTGATTCTAACCCTTTAAAGAATTGATCGTAAGGTGGACTCTACGGTAGGAGACATTATTGAGGAAGAAAAAGAAAAAAGAAAACTTGTATGATGTAGAGTTCAATACAGCGGACGAAACATCATTTTGAGTCTTGAACTACAAGCAGCACGTCTCTTCTGTTGGAAAAGGGGTAATTTTTTTCAATATCATATTGGCAGTTTAAAAGTTATTGAAGCTCACTATCTTTTCGGGTCAAATATGATGACATTGAGATTGTCATTCATCCCCAGTATATCATGCATTCGATGGTAGAGACAGAGGTAAATCAATATTAGTCAACTTTTAAGCTTCTTGATCTCTTGGAAATTGGAACGCTTTTAATTCTATTTCTTTTGTGCTCACTATCTTGAATGCAACGACACACATTCTCATCACCTTAATCTTAATTTAGGATTCATCTGTATTGGCCCAGTTGGGATGGCCTAATATGCGTTTACCGATTCTCTATACTTTATCTTGGCTTAACAGAATTTACTATTCTAAGATTACTTGGCCTCGTCTTGATCTTTGCAAGTAAATCCCTTCCCCCTTTTATGAAAAGCAGATTTGAAGTAACTTAACTCTCTATTTCTCTCTCTCTCTCTCTCTCTCTCTCTCTGTTATAATTGGAAAGATTCTACAAAATGATTTACAACTTAATTTTTGTTCGATAGATTGAGTTTGAATGTGATTTTTCAGGCTTGGTTCTCTTACATTTAAGACTCCGGATAACGTGAAATATCCATCCATGGATCTGGCCTATGCTGCTGATCGAGCTGGAGGGATCATGACTGGAGTTCTTAGTGCGGCAAATGAGAAGGCTGAAGAAATGTTTATCGATGAAAAGTAAGTAGCTTGCGTCGTCACTATATACTCCCGACCCAGCTAAATGTGCCTTACATTTGCCATGAACTTGCTAGTAATGATCTGCTTTGCCGTTGCAGACTTAGCTACCTGGACAAAAGTCGTGTAGCTATCTTGTGATAAACATTGAGAAGAATTGGTATCCTCGCCATCGCTCGGAAAAATCGTACACTACGACTCATGGGCACGTGACTATGCCGCCAGTTTGCAGCCCTCAGCCCGGCCAGTTTAAGTCCTGCTTTTGTGTGTGTTGACACATAAAAATTCAGCCCAAATCGAACAGCCCAAGGAGTAAAGCCCAATTGAAGGATCCTCAAATCGGATAGCCCAAAGAACGAAGTCCAATCGAACGAATCAAGGTGAAGGCCCAAATAAGGGGTCCAAGAATGCGGTAACGCCATCGCCCAAGTTTGCAAGTCGCCCAGAATATAAACAAATGGAGTGTCATACGGTCGCCCGGAGATGTTATTCTACTCTCGCCCAAACCTTCAAGTCGCCCAAGGTATCAACAAATATAACGCATCGTGGTTATCAAGGAATGCAGTTATCAAGGCAGTTGTTAAAGTAGCCTTATCACGTTCCACGACTCAAGGAATTCAATCGAAAGCAGTTGAACGATGAAAGATAATGGCAGCAGTTAAAATGCAGTTTCATGACAAAATGGCCACTACAAAGAAAGTTAGTAGTTATAGGACGATCAAGCAGTTTTTAGGGTAGTTAATCACAAAAAGATCGTCTATGAGGTATAAAAGGGAGAAAGGACGCCGAAGCAAAGGATCGAATCCAAAACTCTCGAACAGAGAATATGTAATTTTCATTTCCTTAACTTTTAGACTTAAACATTTTTCTTTCTGTAACTCGTGTGCTTGCGCCCCTTGGAGGCACGTTGTTTTTCACTCCCAATTGTAAAGTTCATCGCCAATAAAAGAACCCCCCTTTTTGGGACTTTGTCTCAAGAGGTTTCGTCCCTTACACAATCGTCTGATCCTTTTTAATTGTTAGCGACTTAACCCGCACAAAACAATTTGGCACGCTCAGTGGAACAGTGGTGTTAGGTGTTGAAAATATAAAAGGTAAAACAATATGCCTCAGAGATCCGACAAGGAAGGAGCAAGTCAGGGAGGAATCCAGTCTGTAATCGAGCGATATGAGGAGC